GCAGCCCCAAGATTTCCCAGGGAGTGGATTGAGTAGCTGGGTTGTGCTGGATGCAAAGGATCAGGGAGAGTAAAGGTAAGCCTCAGAGCCCCAGAAAGAGGCTGTCAGCCCCAGAAAGAGGCTGGTGGGTGTTGCAGGACCAGGGAAGTAGAGGGAGGTGAGGGTGGGGTCAGTACCATATGTGGTGCTCCTGGGTCCAAGAAAGGCACTCAGTTGGTCTTGGTGAGAAGGGTCAGGAAGCAGTATTGGTTCCCCAGGTGTCTGGGGCCCCAACACTTGGAATGGCGCAGGGCCCAAACTAGGAGTATAGAATGGCGGGGCGCGGGATGGAAGGGTGAATGTGGCTTGGGGAGTCCCGATGCAGAGGGCTGTCCTATAGACTTACCCCAAGAGGCCTGAGGATAGTAGTGCCTAGCAGATTTCTTAATAATAATCATTCTGATTGGTATAATGAGAAACCTCAAAATAGTATTGATTTGCATTTCCCTGATATTTTGGGATATTGAGCAGTTTTGTTTTGTTTTTTTTTGAAAACCTCTGAACACTTGAATTTCTTTTTCTGAAAACTCTACTCAATTATTTGACCAATTTTTCAAATGTTAGTTTTATATTCTTAGTATTTAGTTCTTGCTGTTCTTTGTAGCTTTATCTGATGTGTGTCTGGTTATGATTTTTCTCCCATTCTGTGACTGTATGCTCTGCTGAGAGTTTCTTTTGCTATGAAGGAAATTTTAAATTTTATATAGTCCCAGTTGTTGATATTTGGGCCTAATTCCTGTGTTATTTGTGTTGTTTCTACTCATAAAGTTGTTGCACAGATTCTGGCAAGTTGTTGCCTATATTTTGTTTAAAGTCTTAGAAGAGTGAAACGGCAATTGTATTTTAAAATTTTGATGAGTTTTATCAAAGTAATGCTAATTCATTGTTATTTATAGTAAAATAATGAAATATTCCTCTAACAAAAAAATGTTTAAATGACTTAACAAGATCACATAAACAATAAGTAGCAAATCCAGACAACTATTGCACAGTTGTTATGCAACACATAATGTATAATATTATGTTGAATTGTGCTATATTTTGTATCCTGATCTTTGCTCTCAGATAATACATTATCTGATTAACGTAGCTTAATTTGGAAAGTATTTTCCAAAGTGTTCTTAACTTACAAGTGTGTATGAGGATGTATGAGGATGTCATTTTTGGATCTTAACATTAGAGCTGTCTGTGCCTGTAAAGATTTTGCATGCTTTTAATATTGTTCCCAGTCTCCTAACAGGAATCACATTGATATCCTACTATATTTTAAATTATGAACATTTACAAGAATCATTGGCCTCAAAAAATAACACCTCCTGAGTGTTATTTGTGCTAAAAGCCTTCAGGTTAATTTTAATACTTTTAAATTAGAATACAAAGTAACAGGTTCTTTATGACGTTTTCATAATATGTCACTATGCCTTTTTCTTATGGTACCTTCCTCCACTGACATTTCCCTTACACATCTATAGCCTTCCCTCAACATTTAGGTCACATGTAACTCAATACTCTCTCATTTGCCTTTTGAGAGGGATGAGGTATAAGGAGAGGGAAATGAGGGGACAATGAGAGAGAAGCAAAACCTAGATTTTACAACTTTCTGGTTACTTCCTTAGAAGGGAAAACAAAGATCTTGATTCATCCATCACCCAAGTCACTTCATATCATTTGGTAACATCTATTGGAAACGCACAAAACAAGAATCCTAAGACAAGGCTGGAGACAAATTATACCACTCCAACTGAGTTCATATTTATTGGATTCACAGAGTATTCCCCATTCAGAGTCACACTGTTCTCAGTGTTTCTCATAGTGCACACGTTAACCATGGTGGAAAATATAGGCTTAATAATCCTAGTTAATAGTGATTCGGGACTTCAAACTCCCATGTACTGCTTGCTTAGCAATTTGTCTTTCTTAGACTTCGTCTATTCTACAGCAATTTCTCCGAAAATGCTGGTAAACTTCCTAGCTTCCAGGAAGAGAATCTCTTTCTATGGCTGTGCTATTCAGATGCTTTTCTTTGCATGTTTTGCAGATTATGAGTGTCTTATCCTGGCTGTGATGGCCTATGACTGTTTTGCAGCCATCTGTAACCCATTGCTTTATTCTATACTGATGTCTCAGAGAGTCTGCATCAGCATGGTTGTGCTGGCATATCTTGCTGGGAGTATGACTTCACTGGAGCATGTGTCCCTCATATTTAGGCTTCCGTATTATGCCTCCAATGTCATCAGTCACTTTTTCTGTGATATCCCACATCTCCTGGCTTTATCATGTGAAGATACCCACATTAATGAGCACCTTTATAATCATTGTCATCTCTTACTTCTGCATCCTGGTCACTGTTCTGAGCATCAAGTCTTCAGGAGGCAGAAGCGAAACCTTCTCCACATGTGCTTCCCATCTCACAGCTTTCACCTTGTTCTATGGTATACTCTTGTTTATGTACTTGCATCCCATCACCAGCAATTCCCCAAACATTGATAAGATAGTTTCACTGTTTTACACTGTGGTTTTCCCTATGTTGAACCCAATGATTTATAGCTTCAGAAACAAGGATGTAAAATGCCCTTCAAAAATTATTGGAAATAAAGTGGATTTTAAAATGAATAGGAATTCAAGTTGTGAATAAATGTCCAGGTTTAACTTTCTTTTCTGATAATATCTTCTCATTTTCATCAGTATGCATTTTTGTCATGAATACCTTTCCTATACAATGGATAAATTTACCACTCTAGGTCACTTTGGGTTATGTGGACATTTGATAATATTAATTCTCCATACGAGTGAGCAGGGACTACTTTTCCACACATTTACATTTTCAGGCACTTTCACCAATATTCTATTATTTCAAGTTCAATATTTATTACATTTGATCTAAATATTTGGCTATATGGCCTTAGTCATTTTCTTCATTTCTTTTTGCAATTATTTGCAGATACTATATATAATCATTACTGGTTTTTCATATTAATTTTATATTCTGAAATTTTACTGAATTTATTTATTGTAGCAGTCTTTTATGCATTCTTATTATTTTCTATGCATATGATCATTTTATTTATTTTATTTTATTTTTTAACTTTAAAACATTTTGAGAATTTCACACATGGGTATAGGTGTTTTGGTCAAATCCACATCCATTCCATGCCCTCCAACTCCTGATCGTGTCATTTGTAAGGATGATGACTTAACTATTACTTTTCAACATGGGATGTTTTTCACTGATGTCTTGTATAATCACTCTGGTTAATATTTTCACTGCTTTATAACGTATTAATGGCAAATATAGCTAACCAATCTCTTCCAGATATTGAGTAGAGTATTAACTATTGGTTTATGGTTTTACTGTGTTAAGGTAATTCACTTTTTTTTAAATTTTTTAATATTTTATTTATTATTCTTGTTTTATGTGTATGAGTGTATTGCCAACATGTGTGCAAGTGCACCTGCGTCGTCAGAAGAAGGCATCGGATTCCCCTGGAACTGGAATTATGGATGGTTGTTGGCCAACATGTAGGTGCTGGGAATTGAACTCGGGTCCTCTACAACAGCAGTCAGTGCTCTTAACTGCTGAGCCATCTCTCCAGCCCAGGTAATTCATTTTTAAAGTCCAATATAATTGACTCTTATTCATTCTTTTTAATAATATAAAAAGATATTTACTTTTAAAAAGTTCATTCTGATACCTGGATGAAAAAATTCAATAATTTCATTGTATATTCAATACTCCACATCATTAACTCACTTTGACACTCACAATATCACCCCCCACCAGAAAATTATTTCTTGTATGCTTTGAGTTTTTATTACTCTTATGATTATTTTTCAGCTGTCAGGAGTGTAAAATGAAAAAAAAAATAGTTCTAACCTACAATTGTAAATCAAGGTTTCTATACTCCATTTACACATTTAAAAGCTGCACAGTCCAATGTTTTGTGTGTAAATGTGTGTGTTGCTATGTTTTCAGGTGCACATGCATGTGTATACAGTGTGTGCACATGAATATGGTGGTCAGAGTTTAATGTCAGATGTCTCTTTCAATTGCTTCCTACCATTTCTTCTCTAACTATGGCATGGAATCACCAGTTCAGCTCCACTGGCTGAACAGAGAGAGCCCAGATCCTGCTGTCTCCACTGTGCCAAACAGGAGATTATAAGTTCAAGCCAATATGCTCAGCTTTTGTGTCTGTGTGTGTGTGTGTGTGTGTGTGTGTGTGGAGGGGGGGTGTTGGGTATCAAATTCAATTCTTCATAATTTTAATACAAATATTTTGCCTGTTGAACCATCCCCCTCATCTTCAAAGTCGTTTATAATCCAGAACTCCCAATATCGTGCACAGCATATTCATGAGAAAGTATTAAAATATCTTAATTCTTCATAAACTAAGTCAAGGTATTCTTCAACTGATCAGATTCTAATCTTTACCCACTGAATAATCCCCCTGGTACTCAAAGTTATCTATGAATATAGGGATGTCAAGATTTTGTGCAGAAAAATATTTAAATATCTTTTTAATTCTTCAAGAGTTTGGGCAAGGTATTCTTCAACCTGAATAGACTGTAAAGTTTAACTGAATAGGACAGTCTCTTCACTGCTATGATATTTACACCATCATTTGGTGTCAAGCAATGAAACACAAAGTTCAAAGCATTTAATGAAGATAGGCATGAGTAAAGAGATGTAAAGTAAATAACTAGATAAATAGCAAAATGAATACATGTAAAGATCCATAGAAAAGTCAGTAAGAAGTTATAAAATTAGACAGTGAAGTTTTATAGATGTAATGTTAGAATTGCAACTGTGATGCACCATCTCATGGCATAATTCTCATCCCATTCCTGAGACATTTTGTTCTACTTTGTTATTTTTTATTTATAAATCTGAATAACCTCTGGTATCTTGGTGTCAGATCATGTCACAATGCACATATACAGTAAAAAATTCTGAAAATAGTTCAAGCAAAAGAAAATTAAGACCTTAGAGAAATATTCAAAAATAAGAACATTGTTTTCAGTCCTTCAAGAAGAATAACTTTCCATTTCAAATACATATATATGTGTAGAGATGAGTATATACTATATATAT